TGAAAATTGTAGCTTTCAGATACTGAAACAATCCACTTCCCAAACCAAACTGAAAAGAAACTGACCACATCTCTGAAGAGAGAGGCAGAGGGAAAGATTAAAGACAGATTAGAGATCCAGGACATTTTTGAGAAAATTTTCCAAAGAAAAAGATGTGCAGATGGTGAGACAGTGAGCCTCCTGCTGACTCACAGGAGCTATTGTATGTTTATAGTTTTTAGCATTTACAAGCCTTTTTCTGCAGCAGTTAAGTCCCTGTCAGACTTTTAGGCACAGTAATCCCTAAATGCTCTGCCACTTTTTTATGTTAGCATCATGTTCAAAAAACAAACTGTCATTTCTTCCATAAATGTTCTTTTTTTCTTATATGACCATGTCACATTTCTGCAATGTAAAATGCTATACCTTTTATACAGCACCTTTCAAAACAGTTACACAGTGCTTTACAATACAAAAAAGAACACATTTAAAACAAAAAGAGAATAAAGTCAAACTAAAAGCCATGAAAGCTTAAACGCATACAACTAAAATATAAAACTACAAAAAGACATGTTTTTAATTGGGCTTTTGAGTGTAAAAGAAGCAGGATTGAACCCCTGATTTAATATTTTTGTCTAAAGTGATGTTTTGATTAAAAATAATGACACCAGATTATTTGATTATATCTTAACCTATGATCAGTGCCTCCTTATCTCAATGTCTTATCAATATTTAGTGGCAGGAAATGAAGTTATGAAGGGAGTTTAGCAGTGACAGTGTTCTGCTTTTTATGTAGGGTCACATTTTAGGTGGACCGGAGTATCGTCTGTGTAAAAATGGAAATATATAGGGATGGGGATCGAGACCCGGTTCCAAAAGGACCCGGTTCCAACAAATTCTCAAAACCCAAAAATCAGTAAGGTTCGAGCTTATCGATACTGCTATCGAGACTTGCGGGTCCTATGATGTAACGTTATGTCTCGAGCGTCAAATGATTTAATTTGAAACGCAATGGATAAGAAAATCATCACATACTGTAAGTACGTGCAATAAAACCTTCGCAAGTAAAAAGACAATACTTTATCAATACACCTGTCTGTAAGGTAATGTTAAACAAGTAGAAATGGTTAATCAAATCATCTCTGTCCTCAGTATCTCATCCTCTATGTTTTATACAAGCACAGCTAATGCTAGCTTGGCATTAGCCAAATGTTAAAAACAAGCTAAATAGAAAGCTGTCTGGAGTACAGACTGGTCTGTAGTCTTAAAAACTCAGCTGCTGGCTGAGACAAACCAGCCGCTCCTCCTTCTACCTGGTAACGTTACCTGCAGCCAGCGAGGGAGGAGGAGGGACTGATACAGACTGATGTTATTCTGTCTAAACCTCACTCACAAGAATGGACATGTGGCCAGTCTCAGCAGCCAGCAATAAGTCATTTAACACCTCGAGAAGCACAGTTTCAGTGCTATGTGTTTTTCTAAAAACAAAATCTAGATTCCAGTATGCTATGACTAAAAGTTAAGAGTTGATCTGATCCGACCTTTTCTAAAACCTTGGCCAAAGATTAGCTTAGAAATAGGCCAAACATTGTTAAGTTCAGGGGAATCAAGAAACGGTGTTTTTTTTTTTAAGAATTCAGGAAAAGAGCCTGTCAACAGTGAGCAGTTTAAAATTTGCAAAATAAAAGGACTGTAAAAAAAAACCAAAAAAAAAAAACCTTTTTTATTTTACATGTCGAATATCTAAAGACCAAGATTAGGGTTTCATTTCCATTACCATATCAGTTGGTGTAGATGGAGAGATTGCATTAAATGAGCAGAGGGAGACTGCACAGGGCTTCTCAACAGTAATTGGAAAATCTGGGGGAGAATTAAACTTCTTTTATTTATCTTCTGAGTAAAGAAGGAAAGAAATTCTTCACATTTTTCATTTAATATCTGGTCCAGGGGAGGATCAGGGACACGCCTCAAAATGTAGAACAACATTCTTGGATGTGACTGATTAATATAAATTAAAGCTAAATATGCAGCTTTAGAATTTTTCACCTCTCCGTTAAAGGTCTTATGTGCCCCGGGAAGCTCCAGGTGAACTATGAGTGCAGACGAATGTTTAGAATATTTTGATCTCTTCTCATTTCTCAATAAATGCAGATACTTTGTCACTGAAAGTGTTCAGTTTAATGACGTTCCTCCATTTGTCATTTCTACATATAGTGACAAGTGACAAGTAAGTGACACTACTGTAGATTCTGGGTTTATGAGGGTATTGAGGATTTTAAAGTGGCAGATTAGACTTAAAACAGACATTTGCAAGCCAAATGAGAACCATTGCTTTTATAAGAATGGCTGAAGATGGCATAGTGTGTCGCTGAAATTGGATAATTTAGTTGTTCCACCCTGCCAAGGGGGACTTAACAAGAGAATAATCTCTGGCCGTGCACAGGCCATCACATATACTGTAACTTCCTGTGATGCCTCTTCTCACAAGCTAGATGCCAATCGTGTGAGCATTACATCAGTAGTAGTCGTGTCCTTTTGAACAGAGTCAGCATGACACTTTTCCACAACAGATGCCTATGTGTGAAAGCTAAAAGCCATTACTTAAGCCGGCAGATGAAACAGGCAGTGTTACAAATATAGTGTCTGAAAGCAGCTTTAGTATGAGGTGGTTTAGAGTTGCTCAGAGTTCTTCATTAAAGACGTTTCAGATGGACCCATCTGAAACTTTTCACTGTTTTTATTCACTAACTCATTCTGCCATCTCCTGATAGGAGAGAGGAATAAAAATCTGAATGACTAGTACACTGTTTATAGTGAAACAAACCCATAAAAGATGTTTTAACAAAACAACTGGATGGCTGCCTGACTGGCTGCTTTACTTGCTGGCAGGGGCTCCATTTTGGGAATGGTGGAACACCCCTCTCTCACTCCTGTTGTCCTGTGCTGTGACTCTTCAACTTGCCCTCTGGCTACATGCCTCTTGTACTGTGCAAGAAGTGTACTTCACACTTCCCCAGTGAAACTAGAGCTCCGTCTTCAGCCTTCAGCCTCATGCCTTGCCATGTCCTCTGGACTATTTTTACTCCAGCAGTGGCTACTTCTGCCAAACCCATACCACAGCCTACTGGACTGGAGCTGAGGCCGTGTGTGTGTGTGTGTGTGTGTGTGTGTGTGTGTGTAGGTGTGTGATACAGCAGTGCATTCAAAGAGATGTGAGCGGAATAGAGCTGGGTGATGTGGCAAAGTAATATCACAAATTAAATTGGTGACACTAGATTATATCCCACAAAAAATGTGTAATTATGAGGCTTGGATGTTGGGACGGTGATCATGGGCTGCAGGTTTCTTTGTTCAAATCTGGCTAGGGATGTTTGTTGGCCATCTCTGTGCCTCACTGCAATTATGGGTTGGGAAACAAAAGAATAGACTGTATTTTTTGAAGAAATTAAAGTAATTATGGTCCAGATTTTGTAATGTAGTGGCTACTAGATATGGTCATTAAGGTAGAACAAAATAGTAAGTCTTAAACTTAAGGGAAAACAATTTTGAAAATATGTAAATAATTATTTGGAACCATGTAGTTAACAATATAACAAATGTTCAATAAATATTCACTTGAATCATACACAAATTAGGACTTATTATTTTATTAAGATGTTTTTTTTGTGGGGGAAAAGGGACCGAAAAAAGCTGTAAAAAAAAAAAAAGGTGTAATCAGTCAGAACATGTTTTTAGGAATACCCATGGTGTAGTTATGTGCTCTTAACCCTCCGGTCACACAGAGTACAGAACAATAATCAATAATCTATCAGTGAATAATGATAGTCCCATTGACTGTTTTGATTCATAAAACACAAGTGCCACTATTTACCAGTAGTCATTATTAGCGGAAATTAACCCAATTCAATCAAAATAGAAAAAAGTAATAATAATAATAATACATTTTATTTAGAGGCACCTTTCTGAACATTCACGGTCACAAGACATAATAAAACAGTACAGCAATAAACGATAAAATTAACAACTATAATTACAGTGCATAAAATCAGGGTATAAAATAAAATGGAAAGTGAGTCAATGTTGCGGGTGTCTGGTGGAAGAGAGTTCCAGAGACGAGGGGCAGAGCGGCTGAAGGCTCTGGACCCCATGGTGGTCAAACGAGCAGGAGGTATGGTGAGGTGAGTAGAAGAAGAAGACCTAAGAGTACGGGTGGGGGTGTTAATATGAAGGAGGTCAGTGAGGTACAGAGGAGCCGAGGTTATGAATGGCCTTGAAGGTCAGGAGCAGAGTTTTGAAATCAGTGCGGTATTTAACTGGAAGCCAATGAAGCTGCTGAAGGAAAGGAGTAATATGATTAGTTGAAGTTTATGTATGGATTTGAGGGGAAGACCAACGAGAAGAGAATTACTATAATCAATGCGGGATGTGACCAGTGTGTGAACGAGAATGGCTGTACTAGTGGGTGAGGGAGACAGTCGGAGGCGATTAATGTTACGTAATTGGAAGTATGCACACCGAGTGACATTATTAATGTGAGCTTGAAATGAAAGTGTGCTGTCGAGTTAAAACATGTTTTAAACAATCGTTATAGAAAAAGATATGTGCACATGAAACCAAATCCCCTCTCTGCCTCCAGCTGTTGGTCAAGGCATGCCCACCCATGCTATAATCACCCACATACAATTATTATTTTAGTAAATAATATTATCTGTGTATCTTTTTTTAAGAGTATATATACTGAATTCACTTGGTTATTATTTGCCATGTTGAAAGAGCATGATAACCTCCATAAAGCTGAGTTACAGTTACAGAGAATTCTTCACAGATGAATTTTAAAACTTTTTAAAGCTGTTCTAAAGTTGTTTTAAAGTGCTGCTACAGTTTACAACTCATCTCTGATCCTGGAGGCTCCAAATTCATAACCCAAATTCCTTTTTCTCTCCCCCATCTTTCCTCTTCTCTCGCCTGTCCGCTTTATCTAAATCTCTCTCGCTCTCGCTCACACTCTCGCTCTGCATCAGTGAAATACATCAAGGAGATGTCGGCCGTCTTTAAAAGCTCAGGCTCCCCTGGGGCCGCCCTCCCCTGGGACTCTCCCCCCTCCACACCTCAGAGGGGCACTGAGCTCTCACCCGCTGAGGTGAAGGAGCCCCGCAGCATCCCGCTGAAGATGTGTCAGGTGTCACGAAAACAGTGCCCCCCGGACACAGAGAACAGGTACTGCATGTTAGACGTTTACAGCTTTATAATGTTTGATTTTCACTTCATACCTTTCTTTAGAAAAACGCAGCTCATAGACCTCAACCTGAAAATAACCTGAAAATAACAAAATGGCATACAGAGAATATTGTAAAAGGGACTTCATGCCCTATCTTGCTCACATATTATCTTTGTTATCTTGCTCACATATTCTCTTTGTTAATATCTGAAACTTCCTCTTCACCCTCAAGCTTTTCTCTCTTTTCCATTTGTCTTTTAGTTTCTCTAACTGGCCCCTTTTTCCCCCATCTCCCTTTTGTCTCCCTGCTCGCTTCTCTCTCTTCCTCTCATCTCATCTGCCAGGTATTTCGAGGTGATTTCGTCCAACAGAAAGAATTCTGTGTTCCTGCGGGCAAAAGACCCAGCCATGGCCCAGTCCTGGTACAATGCCATCCAGGCTGGCGCTGCCAACCTTTTACCGCGAGTAAAGGAGGAGATGAAGAGCATGCAGCCTGGCATGGAGGTTAAACATCTGGGCTGGATTACAGAGCAGGTATGAAAGAATACAGACGTGCTGTACATCGTCCGTACTGCAAGACCTGCTTTACCTCCTGTGGTTTTTAGTATTTCATGGTGCCCTGTCAGTGAATGTGCTGTGTTTTTTTTATATGTTATATGCTTTTACAGCCTTTTTCATGTTTTTCAGAGGTGAAGACAAGTTTTGATTCTTAAAGTGCATGCAGTGACACACAAATATAAAAAAGATGCATACAAGTTTATGCGTGGTCATCTGTAAATGTACCACGTTCTGTATGTTAATCAGAAAGTGCAATATGAGGGACTTCAAATGTTTCAATGATTCTTCAACTGTGCTACAAATGTGCATGTATGCAGGTCACCCAGGGTCCAGAGAGACCAGTACTGGCTGTGTTGACCGACAGAGACCTGCTTCTGTATCCGTCCTTGCCTGAAAGCAAAGAGAGCCTCAGCAACCCAGCCAAGAGTCACCCACTCATTGCTACCAGGTTCACACACATAAATGGCTGCATATATACACACATACACCACATTTAGTACTAGATATTAACACTCTCGGTCTTTCACTCTTTCACAAAGACTTTTACATACTGTAACTAATGTAATGTAACATTTGGCATTTTATAAACTTAACAGAGCTGTCCTCCACCCTAAGGAGCCCACTTTTGGGTTGACAGACCTTTTTTGGGGGGGGGGGCTAGTCAAAGAGCACATGCTCACTCTTTCCATAAATGAACCATTGGATATTTTGCCACACGTCACATTCATTTGGAAAACATTAGTGGAACCAGAACCTATGAGTCATGTGTTTTTCCTCCCTTCTTTCTCTCCTTTGCTCTCCACATCTCAGTTTTTGCCTCTGTAACACACAAACTTGCATACCCCTTAATTTGCTCTCCTGGACCATCCTTTTCTGTGAAACTTAATTCTCCTCTTCCTCATCCACGTTCTTCTCATACTTTCTCCTCTCCCCTTTAGACTGGTCCACTCTGGCCCAGGAAAAAGTTCTCCTCTCCTGGACTCTGACCTCTCATTTGGCCTGCGTTCGGGTACTAAGCAAGGAGTGGAGACCCATGTGTTCAGGGTAGATTCTGCCAAGGAGCTGTCCACCTGGACTCATCTGCTGGTGGAGGGTTGCCATAATGCTGCTGAGCTCATCAAGGAGGTCACCACGGGTACAGATGTTTAATTAGATTGTTTAATAATAATAATAATAATAACTTTGATTTATATAGTGCCTTTCACAAACCCAAGGACGCTTAACAAACAAGGGGGGGCCGGGATTAAAGCCCATAGGCCTCAGTGAAGAGGTGTGTTTTAAGATGGTTTTTAAAGGTAATTAGAGAGGAGGCAGAGCGGATGGCAAGAGGAAGCTTGTTCCAGAGTGAAGGTGCACCAACACAGAAGGCTCTGTCACCAAAGGTCTGGAGCCTGGAATTAGGGACAGCGAGCAGGTGACTGAGTGGAGGGATGGAGTAGATCTGTGAGGTACTGTGGTGCAAGTCCATGGAGAGATTTGTACGTCAGAAGGAGGATTTTATATTTGATCTGGGACTTAACTGGCAGCCAGTGAAGCTTCTTAAGGTTGGCAGTCCAAGTTTTGTGTGGGTGAGCATCCTAGCCGCAGAGTTTTGTACATACTGGAGTCTGTCAGTAGCCTTGCTGGGCAGACCGAACAGGATACCGTTACAGTAGTTTGACTCCCAGTTCTTTCTTCATTCCTGCTATACATTTCCCTCCACCTACGAGTAGAAAATTAAAACTTTGTTCTGCACAAAGAATTGCCAGAAATAATATTTGATTGTCTCTGAGTCGTGCTTGTCTTTGCCTGAGTGAAAAGAGAATGACACAACCAAGGTTCAACGTTTGACTCCCACTGGGGTCTCCCTTTGTAAAAATGCAACAAATGCATTCTCTGTCAAGGCACAAAAGGGCAGTTCCTCTATAACACCAAACACAACACTGCTGTCGATCTAAAACTGATTGACAGGTCTTCTACTAACTAATACAAGTAAATCTTAGCCGTAGCTGTTTAAGAGTCATGCAGATTGCATGCAAAAATGTTGACTATATTGATCAATCTCCACAATCAAATGTTAAATGGAATGCACTTGCTCTTCCCACTTGACACCTTCACACGAACATTCATACACTAATGGCAGGGGCTTCCATGCAAGGTGCCAACTGCTCATCAGAAAGAAGGAATAACATTCACACACGCAGACCAATGGCACAGCCATTTGGAGCAATCTGGTGTTCAATATCTTGCCCAAGGACACTTTGACATGCAGACTGGCGGAGCCAGGGATCGAACGGCCGACTGGACGACCCTCTCTACCTAAAATCGTTTTAATCCAAACGATTAGTGATTTGGTACAAGACGTGGTTTCTATCCAACAGAAACACATAATACATAATATAAGCCTATCTCACAAAGCAGGATTAGGAGTTATGATTTATTGTTTCTTGGACAATGACTCTGGGATTGTAGTCTTTTGAAAAATGTCCTCAATCTCTGCAAATTTCTTCTGGCTACATGTTTCCAAATGACGTGAGCTGGGTTTTAGAAAGAAAATATTTTATAATAGATTTTTATGAACAAGACAAAACCTTTTTTTGTTTCAAATCCAGCTATATATATGGCATTTCATAAGCCAGTGTCCGCTCTGGGTAACAGTACAGATCTTTTTACTTCGATGATCCAGATTCTGCATTTTAGTTATGAACGGTTCCTTTAGAAACTTAGTAATCCTACTTTTGTGAGACAGGCACCAGTTCACTTAACAGTGCAGTGTGGTAATATTGTAACATTGCCCTCTGCTGGTAGCTTCAGGTGGTGCAAAAACGTTTTATTTTAGTGTTAGAATTAGGACGAGTGTTCCATTTAACTAAGATTCAACCTATTCTCTTTTCTTAACAATAAGCTTTATTTATCCTTTCAGTGCATTAAGGTATCCCATTCACAGGATTCAACCAAGGATTCTGGGCTCTGTATTAACACTGTTACACTGAGCTCACATCAAAATGAGAACACAAGAAATATGTGATATCAGTCCAGATTTGTATATGAACAATTTCAGCTAAGCGCTGAAGAACCTTTGCATTACCTTCCTTTTCTTCCTCCACCTTTATGGTAACGCGTGTTATTTTCTCTCCCCTTGCAGCCTGTAGTTGGAATGGGAAGGAGTGTACCCTAGGAGTGCACATCGATGAGGGTTTCACACTATTCACCGAAGAGATGGGTGTCAGGAAATGTATTCTGCTCCAACAACCTTTTGAGCGCCTAAGAATGTCCTCAGACGATGGAGTTCGCATGATGTTCCTTGACTTTGGAGGCCCTGAGGCCGAGATTGTAAGTTACTGTTTTCCATCGGTATTTAGCGTTTTTAATCATGTTAAATTATAACAACCATCAATTTGAGCAGTTGAATGTCAACATTAGCTTAATTGTTATCAAGCATGACAGTTGGTTTCAGTGTTTGTGACTGAACGAAATCTAATAGATAACATTAAAAGCAAATGTCTTATCTTTAAAAGCACTATCACTATGCCACTGGCATTTTGTAAGTTCTAAATAATTATACAAATGTGTCAATAAAACTTATTTTGACAAAATAACTCAAGATCCTACTAACCTTTTAAGATAAGATAATACTTTATGGATCCCCAGAGGGGAAATTTGGGGATTACAGCAACACCAAGAGAGATATAAGTAAAGATAAACAGAGAAACTTGAACATAAATAGGTATATAAAATAAGAACTATACAAGCACATTTGAACTCAAATTACAGTCAATAGCAGTACACATACAACACCCACAACAGGTGTTGAATTAATAGTGCTTTGCAGAGCTTTTAACCACATTTCATGGTCTTCACCAGTGAAAAATGTTTGCTCAGTTGTCAAGGAGATGGCCAAAAATCTATTACTAACTACTGTTTCCAAGATCAGGAATGAACGTTTGGCAACATATTGATTTTTTATAGTATTTAAGTACTTCTTCCTCTGATTCTAACATGTTTGTTTTGTATACTTTAAACATATACAGAAATGATCATTTATCTTGTTTTTCTTAAAAACTTGCAACCTTGATCTTGCAACCTGACAAGATGTTTATCATGTAATGAAGAGGCATGCAACCATCAGTGTGAAATATATCATTACAAAGTTTTTTTCTCATTCTGACTTTTTTATCTCTATTTTATATTTCCTGCTCTCCAAAATCTATCTCTTCTTTCAGCAACTGGACCTCCACTGTTGCCCTAAGACCATAGTCTTCATCATCCACTCTTTCCTGTCTGCTAAGGTCAAGCGACTTGGCCTCCTGGCATGATAATGGCCAGCCATCCAGAACATCAACAATAGGAATATTCAATAAAACACACAGCCCAGAAGACTCTGAAACAGCAGAGAATGTTGCGCAGGAGAGGATACTGACTAACCCCTTCTTTTCAGCCTCCCTAGGCCTTTAAGATTCTGATCTCTGATCAGTCACCTCCTAGTCTTTCCTGGGAAGTGCAGAGAAAAGTGCAACATTGAAGGACCTTTGTTTAACTTGTAGTTGTAAGGGAAAGAGAGGTTTTACAGATGGTGAGAATCAGCAGCCATTTAAGGGATGTGACATCTGTCAAATGTGTTACTGTAGGTCATGACACTTTATGATGGTAAACTGTGTGAATATGACAGCCTGCATCTTAATGTTTCTAAGCTTGAAGTCCCAGCCATTTAATGTATTTTGCCCAATTGTTCATTTTTGTTTTGTTTCATTAGTCACAGCAGGCCTTTGTCATGCGAATCCTTTCATCTTTCAATCTTTGCTTTATGTGCTGTGCCAGTTATAACAAATGATATTTCACAAATTTCCTGATTGATGTCGGACAAACAATTTTTTTTTTTTTTAAAGGCAGCTTCAGTGGAGTGACAGAATGACACGACTGATCACTACATGGTCAATAGTTTGTACTGTACAAAGTACAGAATACAACTATAATGATATGTTTTTTATGTAGATGCTTAAGTTGCCTTTACCCTGAATTTCCATGAAAGAAGCTACATGCTTTTTGTTGAAGACAACTTTCAAATGTTAAATCATATGTATTTTTTATTGCAGCTGAATTCTGTCTCTCTCCTTCCCTGTTTTAAGTGAGCTCCTAATTCATGGCCTAACAAAGAGAAATGACTAGAGTATATTATAAAAGGCTTTTTTTATTAATTATGTTTTAGCATAACCAATAAAGTAGATAAAATATTGCAATTTTCCTAACAACAAAAAACTTCCTTGAATTTGCATGCCTTAGACAGACAGACTCTACAGTGTCATTTCATTTCAGCTCATCTGAAGTATAAAATAAGAACTCTTGTGTTTTTAGAGTCCTACTGACAAAGGTTGTGCTATAATCATGATGGATGACAAACAGTTGGCTGAAAGAGTGCCAGTCCAGCTAAGCTACTTCTCCCGTATAGATAAGTGTTCGAGTACAAGTACAGAGTTTAGCTTTTTTATAAACCTATTCTATAGTACAGTGTTTTTGTCTGTACTTCATAATTGAATCACCAGAGAGGACAGACAGGCTTCATCAGAAAGCACTGATAGTCCATTTTTACACAATTTGTCCAACATTTAAATATATTAAATTACCATAGAAAAGATTTTGAGTTGTTTACATCATAAAGTGTTTTATTATTTACAATTTATTATTTGTGTCGACTGAACATCCACAACTTGGGGCCTTCTCTCTATGTCCAACACTAAACAGACTTGTATTAATATATATTTCAAACCTAAAACTTGTTTGCTTTCAGGAATAAAATGTATTATATATTCTTATTTAAACAAAGGTGTGCCTTGCAGGGTTGTTTGTATATAAACATGTAATAAACTTTGTTAACTTTTATTGTTGTTGCTTGTGCTTTATCAATGCAGCATAAATGTTACTCTTGATTTTTTTTTTTCGTTGATCGCTGAAGACTAAGCTAAACTGTAAACATAAAACATACAGTATCTATGTACTTGGTTTTTTTTTTAGTTAAATATTGAACTGAAAATCATATTAAATTTAAATCAATTTTACAGATGGGTGGGTTACTGATTAAAGCTGCACTAATACATATTTTTAAATCACCAAAGGATGAAATGTGTACTGTAAAAGGTTTTGCTTGAAGTGCCAAACCAACTTGACTCTGCACTTCCCCACAGCTCCATCAAAGCATTTTAGCTACTTTCAGCCATAAAAACTATAGGGCGCACCCTTTTTATATACAGTCTATCGGGGCACCATGTCACATATCGGGTCATAACTGCTGCTAACTGCCGTTAGCTAGCTGACAGGAACAGGGCTCAGCAGACTCTTAGTAAACACGGCCGGATTGGGACCAAACACAGCCTCCAAGATCAACGGAGGCCAGGAAATACAACAGGGAATACAGTACCAAGGTGATTTACAGTGGCTTTGACCAGGACTCTGACTCTGGGGACGACAAAGTCACAGTGAGTTCAGGTGGGAACAGGAGAGGCATCAAGCAGGAAAGGCTGAGAGAGTGAGCGGTGGGCATCGAGAGACAGAATATTATTACATCTAACAAAGTGAATTAAGGGTTTATTTTGATCCTACCAGAGTTGGTGATTGTTGGAACAGAGGAAACACTAACTATGCCGGTTTTGGGGGGGTTGTTTTTTTTTATTATTTTGCAACTCCCACTATCGGACTATCGCCTGCTGAGGTACAAACTGTCCTGGTGACAGGACAGGCCAGGGCTAGCTGGTCAGCATGCTAACTTCAGTAGATACAGTATCTCTGCAACACAACACAAAGAGTCTTTGACATAATATTAGAGCTAGTGTTGTAGTCAAGACCACCCAAACCGAGACCAAGTCAAGACCAAGACCAGAGTTTATTGAGACTGAGACAAGACCAAGACTTTTAGGGGCTGAGACCAAGTCGAGACCAAGACCAGTTCCCCACATTACATGACACAATAAATGTGGAACAAGATCATAGGTACTTCTCAAATTGATCTGAAAGATCCATATTTCGATTAAAACACTCAAACACGAGTTGAAATCAACGTAAGCGTCTTTATTCAACACTTCTTTCCCATGCTTACCTTCGCGACAGACAGGGGTGACAGTCGCATGTAACAGTAAAAATAAATTTTTAATTAGGATTTTTGGTTGCATTTGAAGCAATATGTTTTACATCCAATCAAAGTTAGGATGTTAACAAATAAATCAGACAACAATGCAAAAACAATTGACTGGAATTCCTTAAGTTATGATCTTGACTGTTCTTGAAATAAAATACTGAGTCCTCAATGTCCAAGACTGAGACAAGACCAAGTACAAATGTGGTCGAGTCCAAGACGAGACCAAGACCAAAAAGTGGTCTTAAGACCGGTCTCGAGTACTACAACACTAATTAGAGCTGTTACTTCTTCACATTATGTTAATAATATTAGTTATTTTTTTGAATGTTTTAAACTTAAATCTAGGCTATCTATCTATCTATCTATCTATCTATCTATCTATCTCTTTTGTAATAGCTCTTAAACAGTCCTTTTTGAAGTCAGTGCAAATGCTCTTTTCTTATCCAGCTGCAAGTTTTAATGTCATTTCTCATGGTCTTTAACGAGCCGTTCCACTGAGCTGCTTCAGACAGCAGATCTAGCCTTCACACAGTCTTTATTTAACAGTCCCAGTTGGTGGTCTGACAGTTTTATTAAGTCCAGACAGATCTGTAGAATGGGCAGAGCAAAGATGATGATGATGAGATGCTTAAGTCAGCGGGGTGTGTGATGGAGACAGTTAGGCCTGCTGCTAGCTATTGTAAAAGAAGCAAGCAAACAGTCCCCGCTTATATGCTTTTACTGCCACGAGGCAGTGTTATCAGTGAGGCGCAGATGCTGCTTGTTACTCTGCACTGTGTCTGTGTGTGTGTGTGTGTGTGCATATGATTTTTAAACACATGTGCATGTGTGTGCCTGAACAATAAATGGAAGCTGGAGAGTCTAGTAATAACAAACTGTGAGTTGTATATCAGCCCATAAAAATCAGAATAGAGTGTTCACATTTGATCATATCTTCTCTCTCCTTTCTCCCCTCCCTCCCCTTTCAGCTCTTGCTCCTCTTGTTGAGATGTTACCATGGTAACGGCAGGGCGCTCTCAGATTGGCTGCGTCCATCTCTTCCCCTGAACTATGGTTTTGCTGATGAAATTGCCAATCAAGCCTCTCAGATTTGCTGGAGAGGAGGAGGAGATTGTGTGAATATATTTTGATTAACAAAAATGGAAGGGCACTTAGGAGGGAGAGGAAGGGGGAGAAAATTGTCAGAAAATATGATGTTAGTAAGTGAAGGGGGCTAAGAAAAAATGTTGCACTGGATAGAGTATCTTCTGCAATCCCTTCTTTTGTGTTGAAGCCTGGAGAGCAAACATTATCACATACAAAGAGAAGGAATATTGACTCTAAATAAGATTGGATAGGCACTGTAACATTTTGCCAGTCGGGCATTATGGTCTTGGAATTTCCACAATAACCAGGAATATCATGTGAATGTAGACATAAAAGAATGAAAAGAACTGGAGAGATTGGAGATGAGACTAGTCCGGGCTGATCAACTGCTGGAGTTTTAGCGCAGATAATATTTATACTATTTTGTCAAATCTGTGTTTTTTCAGCATAATAATACAGGGCAGACATTTTCAATCAATCAGTCTCCATTATCAGCTGCATTATCAGCCAACAATGAGGCATCTGTGAAAACATTAAATACACTGTGATGAAATTGGAAACCTATTGTTCTCTTGAATATAGACACAAGCATTCCCAAATGTATAAAATACACTTTGGCACATGGCATGCATAAAACAGCTCTAAATGGGCTAAAATGCGCCAAAACACTGATATGACCCAACTGTGGTAAACAAGTGTTAGGAGCAGTTTCCATTAAGTAAACAAAAGATCGTTGAATATGGCAAGAAGTAAATTTACCATGTTGTGGTTTTAGCACAGTGTCCTGCACTACAATCAAATAAACCTTTGTTATTTGAAAGATGAAAAAAGATGCGCTCCAGCTCGGGCATAAGGTCAATGAAATGTTACCATAACTTAACTTAACTTAACTTAGACTTTATTTGTCCCCGTAGGGCAATTGGTTCTGCAGCAAGATATAGACACAGGACAGACACATATGCAAGACCGAAATACATAAATACTAAATGTTAGTATCCTCCCCTCTGGTAGGCGCTGCAGAGCACTGTACGCCAAAACCAACAGACTTAGGAACAGTTTCTTCCCACAAGCCATCACTCTGATGAACAGCTGATTTCAATTCCTGTGCAATAACCCAGTATCTCTGTCTCTTATCAGCCACCTGTTTACTGGCTAACCCTTATTATTTATTCATCATCTCTATTTCAGTGCTGTTATATTGTCATATTGTAGATACTGTATACCAATCCACCTACCTCAAGTCATTACTCCTGCACAAAATACTTATTTATTCCAGCATCCTTTGCACTCTGCTCACTGCACTATTTGTCAATATGTCTATATTGTTTTTGTTCATGGTGTGTATATTTGTGTTGTCTACACTGAAGTCTGTGACTGATTTTATTTTATTTTTATTATTGTGATTTTGTATTTTTCTATGAGTAAGCACATCGTGAGAAATGTACAATCCAGAGTCAAATTCCTCATATGTGTACACATACCTGGCAATAAAGCTGATTCTGATTCTGATTATGGTTTTGGTGAAAATTTGTCTTATGTGAGGTTCCACACTCACAAGTTTAACTGATTAAAATCTATTACATTTTCACTACTTTTCTTTTAATTTGTCTATAGTGTCAAATTCTTTGTTAAACTAATAAATTAGACAATGATGAAAAGTTTTTATTTTTAATGGGAAGGTATTACAGTGGATATGCCGTTTTGAAATGACTAAATTAAAATGTCCTCTTAAATAATTGCCAGGGAAGGATTCTGAGTTGGCACCATTTGTACACTTTATCACTCCATTAGAGCTTCATGAAGTGAGCATTACTTTTTATGAAATAACCAACAGCTGTTGGTAAAGATGACGATCATAATCACTAATTGCTTATTGTGGTTACTGTCTCGATCACTTTGTTTGTAAAGACATCAATATTATCACTCTTATCATCAGTGTTGTTGTCATTGTCATTATGAAAGCTGTGGACCTTGTCTTAAGGTCTGAGCGAATCACCACGCTGTGGCAGGCTTTCTTCAAAATTAAGTGTTTAATCAAAAGATCTAGTATGGTTGTGAATGCAAATTTTCTTATAAAACTTGAAAAGCTACACCTGTTCTCCTGAGATCAGTGCTAGAAAGTAATATAGTAGATTGTACATATAAGTATTTACAAGTCCAGATTTATTGTACTTTTACTCCACTACGTTTATTTGGCATTTATAGTTACTTTACTGTTTCAGATTTTACAACATGACCGTATACATTTTTATTGATTAAACTAAACTGTTTCAGACTCTCCCCTCTGGCAGGAGGCTGTGGTCCATCAGGACCAAAAACTCTCCCCACAAAAACAGCTTCTACCCTAGCAGCTAGCCTCATTAACAAGGCCCGGGTCCGTCACTGACACTCCCCCCTTTCAAATAATACAAACGTCTCTGCACATGTAAATATTACTTCATTTCATATCATGCATAAACCTGGCACATTGCACATATTTGTTGTTAATTCTTAATCATTGTTGTTTTATTGTTATTTTTATTTTCTTATATTGTCAATTTATATATTTCTGTACACAATATCCGTTGCTATACGACTGCACAACACAAACCGGAGTAATGCACATGTAAATATCTGCCACATTGTTCTTTCTCTGCAAATAGTGTATTATTTTTTTCTATTCTTC